CCGCGCCCGGCTCTTTTTTCACTTTTAAGTTTTTTGTTTGTTTGTTTTAAGACGGGGGTTTCACCATGTTGGTCTGGCTGGTCTTGAACTCCCGACCTCAAGTGATGCACCTGCTTTGGCCTCCAAAGTGCTTGGATTACAGGCGTGAGCCACCGCGCCCGCCCGGCCGTTTTTCAGTTTGTTTTTAGCCGACCACGGTGAGGACAGCGCTGGGATTATTTGTCCCCTCCTCCTGCCTCCTGCCCTGCGCTCCCGAAGGGCGCCTCCGAACCCGGTGGTCCTCACCGCCCGGGCGGGGTCCGGTGCGAGGGGGGGGACCCAGCACCGCGCACGCGCACTCGACCCCGACGCCGGCGTCTCCGCCGCAGCCCGCGCGCGTCCCCTGGCGGCCGCAGCGGTCCACACAGACCGCCGGCCCCTTTTCTACCCGCAGCGGGATTCCTGGCAGGGGCCTAGGAAAGACCCCTCTGGCTGCTGCAGGGCCAGTGGGTGACAGGCTCGACCCCACTCCGTTGCGTGGGTGGCTGGGCTCGGTCTGTGAAGCGGGGCGGTTGGGATCGAGGCCCGACCTTCAGACAGCTAGTGGAGGAGGTCTGGGACGCTGGAGTCCCCGGCCAGAGAGTGACAGGCCATGAGGGTGGACTTGTGGGCGTTTCTCAGCAGGGTGGCGGTGAGCGGGGGCCTGGACATCGGAGGCCGGGGAAATGTGGGGTCAGCGAGGGGTCTCGGAGTGCAGGCTGGAGGGGAGGATCTGCGTGTTTGGGGGAGTCATGAGTGGGCAGGAGAGTTCACAGGTGACAGCCTGGAGGAAGAGATGGAGGGGAGCCCTGAGCCCTCGGCAGGGCTGGCAGAGGCCTCCACCTGTAACCTGGGACCTCCGAACCTGAAACGCAGCCCCCAACTGGGTCTTGTGTCCTCACTTAGAAGCCCAGCCTTCACCTGAAAACCTACTCCCCCACCTAGAAGCCGGCACCCCCGCCTGGAACCGGGGCCTCCCCAACCTGTAACCCAGGTTCTCACCTGGAAACCCAGCCCCCTACCTTGAACCCAGCACCCCACCTGGAACCTGGGCCCCTCCACTTGTAACCCAGGGACCCCCCCAACTAGGACCTGGGTCTCTCCCGTCTGCAACCCAGGCCCTCACCTAGAACCTGGGCTCCTGCACCTGGAACCGGTGGCACTCACCTGTAACCCCGGCCTTCACCTGAATCCCCAGTCCCCTACCTGTAACCCAAGACCCCACTGGAACCTGGGTCTCCCCAACCTGTAACTGAGGCCCTCACCTGTAACGTAAGCCCACACTTGTAACCCAGGGGCTCTCTGTGATGACTTTGGGCCCCTACCCATAAGCCAGTTCCCTCCACGGGACCTGTAGTTTTGTGAGGAGGAGAGAATGCAGAGAAAGCATTTTCCCAGGAATACCAGAAAGGGTCACCAGCATCACGTGCTCCTGTGACCACAGCGTTACCATTTCCACAGTTCACCCACCCAGAGGTCACTCCGCCTCTTTATATCCAGAGTGTCATCAAGTTTACAAATTCGAGGCCAGGCTCGGTGGCTCACGCCTGTAATCCCAGATCTTTGGGAGGCCCAGGCAGGCAGATCACTTGATGTCAGGAGTTTGAGACCACATTGGGCAACACGGTGAAACCCCACCTTTACTAAAAACACAAAAATCAGCTGGGGATGGTGGCGCGTGCCTGTAATCCCAGCTCCTCGGGAGGCTGAGGCAGGAGAATTGCCTGGACCCGGGAGGTGGAGGTTGCGGTGAGCCGAGATTGTGCCATTGCACTCCAGCCTGGCAACAGAGTGAGACTCTGTCACCCAAAAAGAAAAAATATGTATTTATGAATTCAGTGGGGATTTGTAAAATAGCCCATCTCATTCCCAGCGTGTCTTATCTTTGAAGACAGGGCTATTGTGTTTTTGTTTGTTTGTTTTTTGTTTGGAGACGGAGTTTCGCTCTTGTTACCCAGGCTGGAGTGGAATGGTGCGATCTTGGCTCACCGCAACCTCTGCCTCCCGGGTTCAGGCAATTCTCCTGCCTCAGCCTCCCGAGTAGCTGGGATTACAGGCACGCGCCACCAAGCCCAGCTAATTTTTGTATTTTTAGTAGAGACGGGGTTTCACCTTGTTGACCGGGATGGTCTTGATCTCTTGACCTCGTGATCCACCCGCCTCGGCCTCCCAAAGCACTGGGATTACAGGCGTGAGTCACCGCGCCCGGCCCACAGGGCTATTGTTAATCCTCCGTCCAGAGAAACAGGAAGTGAAAGGCCGGGACCTCCCAGCTGAAGACTTCCCCGGGACAAAAAGCCGGGCCAGGTAAAGGGGCCCTGTGGAGGGCTCTCAGAGCAGCCCCCGGGAGCCTCAGGCCTCACGGTGCCAGGAAGGACTGTATAATCTAGTTCCATGCTGGCCCAGCCTGGCCTGGGTTGGACGCCTGCTCCGATGCCCAAAGCCCCATCACCCTGAGCAGCTGGAGCCGGGGCATCCTGAATGAGACCCCTGGCGCTCCAGGGCGCTCCGGGTGGGAGTCTCAGTGCCACTAGGGACCTGGAGTGGAGACCTGGGCAGGGGGCTTGCTCTCCGCCAGCTTCAGTGGGCTCACCTGTGAGGGAGGGAGGATGTTAGAATAGTTCTTTTAGAATAAATTTTTATTTTTATTTTTGAAACAAGGCTGGCTCTGTTGTCCAGGCATACAGTGGCATGATCATGGCTCACTGCAACCTCCAGCTCCCAGGATCCGGTGATCGGTGCAAAGCAGCTGGGACTGCAGGCACACGCCATCACAACTAGCTACTTTTCTTTTCTTTTTTGAGATGGAGTCTTGCTCTGTTGTCCAGGTTGAAGGGCAATGATGTAATCTCAGCCCACTGCAAGCTCTGTCCCGCCAGGTTCAAGCGATTCTCCTGCCTCAGCCTCCTGAGTAGCTGGGATTACAGGCGCCCGCCACCACGCCTGGCTAATTTTTGTCTTTTTTGTAGAGACAGGGTTTCACCATGTTGGCCCGGCTGGTCTCGAACTCCTGACCTCAAGCGATCTGCCTGCCTTAGCAAAAAAAATTTTTTTGACAGAGTTTTGCTTTTGTTGCCCAGGCTGGACTGGAGTGCAGTGGTGCGGTCTTGGCTCATCGCAACCTCCCCCTCCCGGGTTCAAGCGATTCTCGTGCCTCCCGAGTAGCTGGGACTACAGGCGCGCGCCACCACGCCCAGCTAATTTTGGTATTTTTAGTAAAGACGGGGTTTCACCATGTTGACCAGGATGATCTTGATCTCTTGACCTTGTGATCCACCCGCCTCGGCCTCTCAAAGAGCTGGGATTATAGGCGTGAGCCACCGCGCCCGGCCCTGTTATTATTTTTTTAAATAGAGCTGGGGTTTCACCATATTGGCCAGGCTGGTCTTGAACTCCTGACCTCAAGTGATCCACCCGCCTCGGCTTCCCAAAGTGCTGGGATTACAGGCGTGAGCCACCGCGCCCGGCCGGTTTCAGCATTTTCAACCTCAGGAAGCCGTATTTTGGCAACTCCTGCTTTTCACCAAAAGCCGCTGCTGGGCCGTTCCCCGCGCTGTCCCGAGGCGTCCCCCGGGAGGTCCTCTAGGGCAGAGGCCGCCCCGCGCGTTTCTCTCTCCTCTGGGCCAAGAGAGGCTTAAAGCAATGATTTTTGCCCGGAACTGACCACGCTGGGTTACTTTTTGACCCTTGACCTCGTCCGAAAGGGGAATCCGGGGAGGGGCTCTGGCAGGCGTGACCCCCATTCCTCCTTGGTCCGGGAGCCCGGGTCCCCACCCACCGGGCTGAGTTCACCCCGCAGCCGTTGAGCGAGGCCGTTTGCGTCCATGACCTACGACCCCCGTCCCCCGTCCCCAAACCCTCGGAGGTCAGAGCCGCGGCGTCGCCTCCCCATGCCTGCTTCCCGCCCCCTGCCTATGACGGGCGCCTCCAAGAGCCAATGAGCGGGCAGTATCCACCCCTCGGGTGGGGCCAAACGCAGACCAATCCCCGCTCAGGCGCCCGGCCGGGTCCAAACGCTCCAATCCTCAGCTGCGGAGGGGCGGGCAGAGGGAACCAAGATTGCAGGTTCAGCCAATGGGTGGGCACGTCGGCGGCGCGAGGGGCGTGTCCCGCGGCCAGGCGTGCGGCGTCTGCGGCGGCGCAGGGAGGGGGAGGGAGGTAAACAAGATGGCGGCGGCGTGTCGGGCGCGGAAGGGGGAGGTGGTCCGGGGCGCTCGCGAGTGAAGCGCGGGGTGGCGGAGGGAGTGCAGGCGCTGGCACTTGCTGCCGCGGCCTTGGATGCGCTGGGCCCCCCTCGCCGCTCCGCCTCCTCCACACGCGCGGCGGCCGCGGCGAGGGGGACGCGCCGCCCGGGGCCCGGCACCCTCGGGAACCCCCCGGCCCGGTGCCTGCGGCCTGCGCCGCCTCGGCCGCCCGGAGCCCCGTGGAGCTCCCGCCGCCGCGCCGCCCGGCGGACCGGACGCTGAGAGCACTCAAGGCGGGGCGCGCGCTCGGGCCGACGTTTGCGGGGAGGGGGTGCCTGCCGGGCTCCGGAGACCACCGTGGGGGTCGCGGGCGGGCTCGGGGGGCGTCCAGTGCGAGCCCTCGCGGGCGCCGGGCAGTGGCCGGCCGTGAGCTGAGCTGTTGGCTGCCGCGAGAGGCCGCCGGACGCCCCAGCCCCCCCGAGCCCTCGTCCGGGCCGGCGGCAGTCGGCGGTCTCCGGGAGGTCCCCTCGGGCGTCCGCGGCGAAGCGTTTGCGCTTGGGACGAGCGGCGAGACCGGGGCGTCGCCGGAGACGCCCCCATCGAAGTTGCGCTCCCCAGGTGTGGGGGTCCCGGGGGGCAGCGGCGTCGCGGACCCTGCCCGTGGGATGGGCGGCCCGGAGAAGACCGCGCTCGGCCGTGTTCCTGCTTGTCCGCGGGCCTGAGGTCCCCGGAGGATGACCTAGCGCTGAGAAGCCCGGCCGGCCTCCCCAGGGCCCCCGCGGACGGAGCTGACCGCGACCGGGCCGTTGCCCCCCACCCCCGTGCCGAGGCCCGGGTCCCCCTTGGAACTCGCGTCTGAGCCGCCGTCCCGGACCCCCGGCGCCCGCCGGTGCCGCAGACCCTGCGCCGGGCTCGGACTCGCAGCCCGGACCGACGTGTAGGACAATCGTTTCTGTTGGAAGAAGGGCTTTTCCCTTCGCTCTGGGGTTTTCGTTGCCTTTTTTTTTTTTTTTTTTTTCTTTTTACTTTTAAAAATTTTGGAGAAGGGAAGTCGGGACACCCGGAAGGACCGCTCCCCCGCGGACTCAGGGTTGGCGGCGGGACTCCAGGACCCTGGGTCCAGCATGGAGGTGGCGGACCCGCCGCAGCTGGGCATGTTCACGGAGGGTGAGCTGATGTCGGTGGGCATGGACACGTTCATCCACCGCATCGACTCCACCGAGGTCATCTACCAGCCGCGCCGCAAGCGGGCCAAGCTCATCGGCAAGTACCTGATGGGGGACCTGCTCGGGGAAGGCTCCTACGGCAAGGTGAAGGAGGTGCTGGACTCGGAGACGCTGTGTCGCAGGGCCGTCAAGATCCTCAAGAAGAAGAAGTTGCGGAGGATCCCCAACGGGGAGGCCAACGTCAAGAAGTGAGTGCGGCTCCCTGGGGCGGGGGCGGGGGGCCCGGCCAGCCCCTGTGCGGACCGTTCCGTCTTCCTTCCTTCTCTTCTCCCCCCCCACCCTTCCTTCCTGTTGACACCCTGAGCGGGCCCCGGCCAGCGCCTGTGTCCTCCGAGCCAGGGAGAGCCGGTGGGAAGTGTGCGTTGGGGACTCTCACGCAGGCGGGGACAGTTGTCGCAGCGGGGCGGGCGTTTGCTTGGGCTTCTGGACGCCAGTGAAAATGCCCTGGAAGCAAAACCCTCCTGGGAAGGGAGCGGCCCCCACCCGGCCCGCTAAGTCTGGCCCCTTGGCTCCCCCAGCTGTCGGTGGGGCAGAGGTGCCTAGCGGAACCAGCCTGTGTTTATTTGGGCCCCGGGAGTTTGTGTGGGTTTTCTGCGCAGTGTGTGGCCGTGACCAGGGCCAGGCGAAATGTGATTTGTTTATCCTGTCGGAGGGGAACCACGGGCTTGCCAAAAATAATTGTTTGCACCGGCTTATCAGTCAGCGGGAGGGAAACGTAGCCTTTCCTCGTTTGCCTGGGATGTGGAGCTGGAAGCATCCCTGGCTCCCTGCGCTGACAGCCCTGCCCGAGGGGGACGGTGCCTCCCTCCCGACTAGTGTCCCGACGACCTTACTTTTCAGACTGACTTCAGGCGCTGGGCATCCCGGACGTCTCTGCATCTGCGCAGAGAAGCTCCTCCTGAGGGCAGCGCAGCCTGGCCAGAGCCTCTCCCAGCTGGTGGGGGGCGGGTGTCCCTTCCTTATCGGGACCAGACACAGCTGCGCCTGCCTCTGCCTGGCAGGCCCTGCCCAGGCCCTGCTCCTCTCCCCGCCCTCTGTAACTTTCAAAACTTTGCCTCCTGTTTCCGAGAAAGCACCTCATCTACTGGGCTAGGCCGAGAGGGACTGGCAGGGACACCCTGCTCGGGGCAATGTGACCTTGAAAGGAGGTCTGGGGAGGGGCTCCTGCCCTGTCTGCTCTCACCTCCCTCCTGTTCAGGGGCTGGGGGGGCTCACACACTTCTTTTTTTTTTTCTTTGAGATGGAGTCTTGATCTTGTCGCCCAGGCTGGAGTGCAATGGCGTGATCTTGGCTCACTGCAACCTCCGCCTCCTGGGTTCAGGCAATTCTCCTGCCTCAGCCTCCGGAGTAGCTGGAATGACAGACGTAAACTACCATGCCCGTCTAATTTTGTATTTTTAATAGAGATGGGGTTTCCCCGTGTTGGCCGGGCTGGTTTTGAACTTAGGACCTCAGGTGATCTGCCTGCCTCAGCCCCCAAAGTGTTGGGTTTATAGGTGTGAGCCACCCTATACGTCCGGCTTAACCAGCATGCCGGCTGTGAGGTGCGTGCTCCTGGGCTGGAGCAGCCAGGGTTAAATGGGAGGGGCTGTGTTTCCAGGAGGCCTCTGATGTTTCAGTGCCAGTGTGGACACTGTAGAGGGCGTGGCTGGTGCCTTAGGTCAGTGGAGCGGTTCCTGTGCCTGGTCTCCATGAGATGGGTTGGTCAGGGCAGAGCCCTGTGCTGGGGTAGCGTTGGGCCTCTGAAGGGGCCAGTGACAGCCTGTCTCTCCCAGCAGTCAGAAACCCATGCTTAGGGGCTGGGCGTGGTGGCTCACACCTGTAATCCCAGCACTTTGGGAGGCTGAGGCTGGCGGATCACCTGAGGTCAGGAGTTCAAGACCAGCCTGGCCAACATGGTGAAACCCCGTTTCTACTAAAAATACAAAACTTATCCTGGTATGGTGGCGCCTGCTACTCAGGAGGCCGAGGCAAAAGAATCACTGGAACTTGGGAGGTGGAGGTTGCAGTGACCTGAGGGTGTACGGTTGCACTTCAGCCTGGGAGACAGAGCCAGACTCTGTCTAAAAAAAAAAAATCTGGTTTGAGTTCTGACAAATGTATACGCAAGGTCAGTGGGAGACAGACGCTGGGTTGGGAGGAAACCTGACTTGAGCGTGTGTGCCCCCTGGTTTCAGCCGCTGGTGGAGGAGTTCCCGAGAGCTCAGGTGAGCACCTGAATTGCAGGGCAGAGCCAGAGGGTTACAGGAAATCAGTCTCACCCAGTGCATGGGAGAACAGGAGGGGACACTGAGGCAGGGAGGCAGAGGGGTGGGCAGGACCTGGACAGGACTGCGGGTGGAAACCACCCACAACTCATGACCTCGCTGGCCGTGGAGGGAGTGATGCACCCCCACTGGTGTTCCGCATCCACTTTCATCCTGGCCCTGTGTGTGCAACGATTTTGCCCTTTCGGGTCCCCCTGGGATGAGGGGTGGCCCTGTCCCATCCTGCTCACGGTCTGCAGGATCCGTCTGCCATCAGGAGCTGCGCGGCCTGCAGCTGTGATTTAGGACCCACTGCACTTCCTCCAGCTCCCTGGGAGCTGCTGTGTCCTGACTGGAGCCCGCCACGTGCAAACTCTCTCAAGGAGAAGGGGTGTCCACTGCCCAGCCCTGAGGCTCGAGGCCTTGGCCAGCCTCGCTGCCAGCGCTGCAGGGAAAAAGCCTCCTTTGTATGTGGGAAGCTTAATAAACTCCGCTCAGATTGTGTCTCACAGCGAGTGTCTGGAACCTTCCAGACAAGCTTCAGGCGTCCGGTCCTCCAGTTGGTGTGGAAAGCGTGGGCGACCGCCAAGGGGGGGTGGGTTGGGGCAGATGGAGCCGGCATGCGTCTCTTCCCTTCCCTTCCTTTCCTTCTCAGGAAGGTGGCCCTGGAGTCCATGCCTTGCCCTGCTCTCACCAGTAAAAAGCATAATCTTGTTAGAACTAGGAAAGTTACAGAAAGCAGCAAGAATTTAAAAAGAGGTCCGGGCGCGGTGGCTCACTGGGCACCTGTAATTCCAGCTCTTTGGGAGGCAGAGGAGGGCAGGAGTTCCGAGACCAGCCCGACCAACACGGTGAAACCCCGTCTCTACTAAAAATACAAAAATTAGCCAGGCTTGGTGGTGGATCCTTGTAGTCCCAGCTACTCAGGAGGCTGAGGCAGGAGAATTGCCTGAACCCAGGAGGCGGAGGTTGCGGTGAGCCGAGATCGCACCATTGCACTCCAGCCTGGGCAACAAGAGCGAAACTCCGTCTCAAAAAAAAGAGAAAATTACTCAATGTTAATACTGTGGCATCATGCTGTATTTCCTTTGAGTTTTTGGTTTTTTTCCTAACCTATCCAGGCAGTTTTTAATGAAATGTAAAACTTTTTTTTGGGAACAGAGTCTCACTCTGTCACCCAGGCTGGACTGCAGTGGGGAGATCTCTGCTCACCGCAACCTCTGTCTCCCGGGTTCCAGCAATTCTGTCTCAGCCTCCCGAGTAGCTGGGATTACATGCGCACGCCACGATGCTCAGCTGGTATTTGTATTTTTGTAGAGAGGGTTTCACTCTGTTGGCCTGGCTGGTTTCCAATTCCTGACCTCAAGTTATCTGCCCGTCCTCAGCTTCCCAAAGGGCTGGGATTACAGGCCTGAGCCACCGAACCCGGCCTGTAAAATGTATAAAAAGATGGGCTGAGTCCCTCTGCCCTTCCCTTTGTTTTCCCTTCCACGTGTTGTAAAACACTGTGCTTTCCTGTCGTTTCTTTCTACCTGTTGGAAATGTGAAAATCGGGGCGTGCTGGCTGCCACAGGAAACGGAACCACATGGGGTCTGTGGCTCTCCCATCCCCACGGCCCCCGTGGTGTCCAGCAGGAGGCGGGAGGTATGCTTGGGTGGGGCGGTGATTGGCAGATGCTTGGACCCGTGCCAAACAGGACTTTTGCGAGTCAAGAGTCAGTCCTGGGCGTCGTAGACCTTTACATCCCAGGTTCCGTTTCTGGGGTTCTAGCATCTGCCCAGGCTCCCGCGGCAGCCATGTGAGGCCTGGGTGTCCTCTAGGGCTCTGTTTGTCCCTGTCCCTGTCCCTGGGCAGAGGGAGGGACAGTTCTGAGAGTTGATGGAATCTTGGGGGCTGGGCAGCCGCAGAACAGCAGGGGTGATGGGTCCAGTGGGGGTTCTGGGCTGGGCACACGGTGGGCTCCTGGTGCCCTGCCAGCTGGGGCGGGCATGCAATGTTTCCTGGCTCAGGATCTGGGGTGCTGCCATAGCTGTGAGGAGTCACAGTGAGGCGGCTTGGTGTCCTGTATGTCCCACATCCACTACCGTGTTTCTCAAATTGGACTAGGTTTTCTTTTCTTTCTTTCTTTTTTTTTGACATGATGTTTTCCTCTTTTTGCCCAGGCTAGAGTGCAGTGGCACAGTCTTGGCTCACCGCAACCTCTGTCTCCCAGGTTAAGGTTCAAATGATTCTCCTGCCTCAGCCTCCCAAGTACCTGGGATTCCAGGCAGGCCCCACCGTGCACAGCTAATTTTTATATTTTATTTTATTTTATTTTTTAGTAGAGATGGGGTTTCAGCATGTTGGCCAGGAGGGTCTTGAAATGCTGACCTCAGGTGATCCGCCTGCCTTGGCCTCCCAAAGTGCTGGGATTACAGGTGTGAGCCACTGCGCCCGGCTGTGGTGACAGTCTCACTGTACCAGCCAGGCTGGAGAGCACTGGGCTCAGGTGATCCTCCTGCCCTAAGTGCTGGGACTACAGGCGTTCACTGCCACCCAGGCTCCTCTTTTGTAGAGATGGGGTTTCACCCTGTTGACCAGGCTGGTCTCAAACTCCTAGACTCAAGCTACCACCTGCTAGCCACTGCAACCTGCCAATAGTTTTATTGGCATGGAATTCACATATCATAAAGCTCACCTTGGCCTGGCGTGGTGGCTCACGCCTGTAATCCCAGCACTTTGGTAGACTAAAGTGGATGGATCACCCGAGGTCGGGAGTTTGAGACCGGTCTGGTAAATATGGTAAAACCCCGTCTCTACTTAAAATACAAAAATTAGCTGGGCTTGGTGGTGGGCGTCTGTAATCCCAGCTACTCGGGAGGCTGAGGCAGGAAAATCGCTTGAACCTGGGAGGTGGAGGCTGCGGTGAGCTGAGATCGCGCCACTGCACCCAGCCTGGCCA